ACTAAGAGAAAAAAATTAATTTTAGTCACAATCTAATATGTTTTATTTAACATTGGTGGCGAGAGGACTTCCTTAAAAAGGGGAGGTTTAAAAAGTGTTATCACAAGAAAGTATATCCGTTCTGTTTATTTATCAAGTATTGTTTGAGGTTACTTTTGAATACATTTATTGTTTTTTTTTTTATTTCTGTAGGCAGTCTATTAAATTTTTTAAACCTTTAATAAAAATTGTATTTTCGGAACTTTTAGTGATGGCTTGCCGTACATGAAAGTCAGATTGGCTTGTTGTATGTCATTTTTATTTTATAAATAAATATCAGTCATGTACTGAACATAATTCTGAACTGAAAGCCAATTTATTTATTTTCACATAAATGCAGTACTCATCCTTCTGTCCTTTATTAATAGAATATAAATAGGCGAAGTAAGGAGCTCAAATATTTTACATGAGCAGGCCTAAGAGGTAAAGGGACTAATTATTATTGGATAAATTGTCGAACAAGTTTTTAAACCCTAATCAAAAGGTGATATAGAATGGTTTTAAACATCAAGGCTTGTGAAAATCATCACATGGTTTAACCTAAGTAATGCCAATGCTTCACAAACCAAAAATTCAACGTCCTAATACTACTATCGGCTTTCGTCTTTCGTTCCAAGTTAAATCATTTCTCGTTTTTGTTACGCTACGAGTTTACTCCATGTGAGCCTCAGTCTCGATAAGGTGGGAACCACCATTTTAGCGTCTCTCGAATTGTGATTCATTTTTACAGGTTGCCATAGAAACTACAAAAAAACTACCGTAAAGTGGGGTGACTTTGACTCACTGTCAAAATTTAAACCTAGTTTCAATTGGTATAAAAGCAAATCCAAATTCGCATTTTCGCCATAATTTAGTCTTCAGTTATATTTTAAGAATCATTAAGCAAAAATATCTCAAAATGGTCTAATTTTTCAAATAAAAAATAAAAAGGAGTGTGCAAAGCCACCCATCACAGTTTATAGTACACTTTATCATTAAAAAAATATTTGTTATTGCTTACGGTAAAGATAATTATTAAAATAATATTACAAATAACGGTATTGTTGGTTGCATACAAGTTTTATGACCTTTCAATTTCGATTATTTTGCAATGAGATACATTTTTTATACTACAAAAAGCGTGAGCGTCCAATTGTCTTTAAATAAAGTGTTTTGGGTAGTTTTAATACCTTACAGTTCAACCAGCGTATTATTTTAAAAATAGGACGTATAATTTTTTGTGAATAAAAATAACTATTTACTAATTTGAGCTAAAGTCACCCATGCGGGTTAAAGTCACCCGACTTTACGGTACTATGATTATGATTTAAAATAATTGTCTAACATGAGTTTATAATAATTATTAACTATCTCTGAAAATGGTTTATACAATGCTATCCTTCTTCCTTTCACATATGCGCAAGGATAAGGTTTAAAAGGTAGGTAAAAATATTAATGATTCAAGTTTAAAAGCTAGGTTCACAATGAATTAGGATTGTCATTTTCAGGGCAAACACAATTGTCGCTGTCATGTCTTATGTGATTTTTTGAATATAAAGTAATTTTTTTTAGCCACTTTGCTTAGGATAGGGATTGGCACAGGTGCAATTTGGTAAAGTCAAAGAGGTTAGAAAGGGTAGAGGTAACATAGGAAGCATTTGTCGCTGCGCGAATTTTGCCAAAACCGAAAAACTGGGTGGAAGGAGTAGGGAAATGTTCTGGGCCGGACTTAAATATTTATATTGTAGTACCTAATTTTGGTAGGTAACTAAAACATGAAAAATTATGAGACGTTTTTTGACTTTATTTGATAGCACGATTAATTTATGATGAGGGCAATAACTCTTTATCAATATATAGCTAGGCTAAGGGCCGATTCCACCGTTGTGTCAAACGAAGTTTAAATTACTAAACGAAGATTAAAATGACATTGTTAATATAAAAATGTCATTTTAATCTCCATTTAGTAATTTAAACTTCGTTTTTGTTAATATAAAAATGTCATTTTAATCTTCGTTTAGTATTTTAAATTTCGTTTAACAAAACGGTGAAACCGACCCTGAGTAAAAGATTATAAAATTATTGTAACAAAATAGCTGTTGAGACAAAAAGTTATCGAAATAGCCACCACGTACTTTTTGTTCGAATTACATACAAGATTTTTTCTACGATCACACCAAAATAAAATAAATAATTAAATTTTATTAGAAATGGGTTACCTTTTCGTTCGTTATAATATTTTAAGTTTATTTGACATAAGCCTACTCTTTGAAGAGGAAAAAATGTTTCGGTACTTATATGTCGGTAATTATTTATGATTTAATTATTTACCGAAAATACTGTTCAATGATTTCAAATATTAGGAAGTCAGTTAATAGCTACTTATGTAACCAGTTACGAAATGCCTTATTTTGTGTAACGAGTAAATATTTGCGGGACGAGCGGAGCGAGGTCCCGCAAAATGAACGAGTTACACGAAACGGCATTTCGTAACGTATTTACATACAAGATTTTTTCTAATTTTGACTTAATTATTTATAAAATTGTGTTGAAAAATGATTTACCATCATTCTTTTGTAGGTACTTCCAATCAAATATTTCAGAAAATTGTTGTATTTGATTGCCCTACGACGTTTTTTTTTCAATAGTAATAATAAAAGTAAGGGACATGTGCAGTGTTGCCGATCTGATTTTTGATATTACCCGCGAGAAATTTGAAAAAAAAAAAACTTTTTTACCCATTAACCTTAAAGGGTACGTCAAAATTTTACCCCCAACATTTCTGGGCAGTTTTCAATTTAAAAAATCGGCTTTATATTATGCTCCTATTTCACATATTCAATTTTATAATTGTAATTTGACAATATTACTGCCATCAACGTAGTCTGTTGGCTGAAAATTGGGGTATACCTTTAGCTGGGTTAAAAATAGTTACCACAGGTAAGTGATCTGTAACTAGGATAAAGAAATGTCCATATAAATATTCATTAAATTTATTTAAGCCAAAAATTATTGCAAGGCCCTCTCTTTCAATTTGGGAATATTTTTGTTCGAACTTTGATAAGGTATCCGAAGCAGAAGCTATAGCAATATTTTTTTCAAAAACATGACATAGCATGGCCCTCATTCCCACATTTGATGCATCTACGGTTAATTTGATCAGCAACTCAGGCTGAAAATGCACAAGAACATCATTTGCTATTAATTTATTTTTGATTAATTCCAAAAATTCCTTGCAAGAATTATCCCAAATCCATTTCACCCATAAAAAATAAAATAAAAAAAAGTCCTCTAGCAAAATCATATCCTCCTTCCTCCTAGTGACTTAAAAAAATTACTTCTCAAAAAAAAAAGTCCTCAAGCCAGGTCCCTCCATTTTCTGGCGATAGTTCTCTTTTTTTACTATGATTATTTTCTTCGCGGAGCTCTCACAAAGGCTTTGCGAAGCCCCAGGGCTCCGCGGAGCACATTTTGAGTAACGCTGTTATAGAGAAATACTAAATAGTTTTGAAAAAACTATTGAAACCAGTGTGAAGTTTGAAACGAATAAATTGGCAATGAAATTTATATTTTTGTATTTGATTGTATATTACTCTTTCCACTTCCTGAAAAAAGATTCCCCATGAAACAAGAAATAGTAAACAGTTTATAATAACCATTATTTGCTACTTATAACATGTACCAATGACCAAGTCTGATTCTGTTTATTTTCAAATCAACAAATATGGACGTCGACAGAATCTTTAAAAATTAAATATCTCACCGAAATAAATATAAGTTTCTTTTTTCTCCGTCACATTTCGCACTTTTATTATAAATAAAGATTTTTACAATACATCTTAGCATTTTCAACGTTAATTTCCAAAATTTAAGTCACTAAAATACCAAATTATTTGCTACTTATAACATGTACCAATGACCAAGTCTGATTCTGTTTATTTTCAAATCAACAAATATGGACGTCGACAGAATCTTTAAAAATTAAATATCTCACCGAAATAAATATAAGTTTCTTTTTTCTCCGTCACATTTCGCACTTTTATTATAAATAAAGATTTTTACAATACATCTTAGCATTTTCAACGTTAATTTCCAAAATTTAAGTAACTAAAATACCAAATTAATTTTCGTTGACACATTAAATTTGGATGGACAAAGCTCTGACATGTGATGTTCTCGACTGTGATTGGTGGGTGTGAATAATTTCGAAATGGGATTATGCGCAGTGTCTTATGTTCCATCTAAGGTTTATATAATCTAAGGGTAAAGTACAATGTTGTTACATGCCTTTGGGGGGCATATTTCATTTCGTTATCAGATAACGGTCGAAATTTGCAGTGGGCACTCTTATTACTATATTTACAAATACATTTTAACAAAACTATATGAAATCAATTTACCTATTAAAATCTTTCTTTTTAACTAATTTTATTTTATAAATTAATAAAAGTCCTAAATTATTTTTAAATTAGTTATTTTTTATTAAAAACCTAAAATAATTTTTGAAATTTTGAGATTTTTGTTAGTGGGTAGTAGAAAGAGAATACTGTACAACTAGAGTGGATTGTTCGTATCACACTCAGCTTAGACGATTGAGCACTCCGCATACGTCGTCGTGCGCAAACTTCGTCTTCGTGCATAATTGCCATCATATCCACTCTTGTTGCTCAAAATATTATTGCGGCAGAGAAATGTCACTTTTCGGCACGCTCAGTCATATTTCAATTACTTTGAGAAACGATCAAGTTTACGAACGTTTTGCTTGTTTTGAATTGTGGTTATGAAAAAAAAAATATATCAGTATTGGTACTGGATGAAACCATTTATCCTTTTTACCGGAATAAATCAACTTACCTAGTAGTTGCCTCTCGAAAAACGATCAAGCGAGCTTATTTCAAACTTTGACGGGCTATGCTCTTAGATTGTTCGGCGCGTTTAGGTTAGTTAGACTCGTGGTGTATCAATTTTAGCTTCAGTTAGTTGTCGGCTGGCGATCGTGCGGGTTTTGCGCGTCTACCTCTTCTTCTCTCTCGCGGGAAAAACGTGATACGACCCGGCGTTTTTTAGCTGAAAGTTTTCGCCGCGGTTTTTCTATGAAAATTGAAATCGGTGACTCGGGAAAGACGTTGTGGCGGTAGAGGCGTAGTGTTAGAGGAAACACATTTCGGACGTTTCGGTAGGTTCAGAAATAGTTTTTATTATTTTATTAGCAAATTTTGTGTTTATTATAGTGTTTGATTGATTGACCTTCAGGTGTAATTTTGTTTTTTTTTTAAATATTTTTGTTGAGACAAAAGGGGACCGTCTAATTTAAGTTCATAGCAATTTCACAAAAAAATACGCATATAGGTACACGTGCGATAGAAAAATGTTTATTATGTGCCAAATAAATAATTGAAAATTCCCTTATTTCACATACAGTTATTTATACCTAATATTTTTCTAGCAAGGGCCAGACAGATAGGGTCACTGTTAGTAAATCAGTTAAATTTCCTTTTTCCCTAAATATTTTTTTTTTGGGTAATATAAATTTTCTATTTTTTAGGATTAAGTGAAACAAAATTAGATAAATTCGCTAAATTTTTTACGTTGGTTTACTCTTATCGTCCGCAGCTCCCTATTGGCTTCTCTCTTCCCTTCTCTAAGATTCTAGATTCCAGGGTTATTATTAATTTTTACTTTCTTGTAACCAGTGAGTTTTCGACTGATCTTTACGCGGTCTTTTCGCGATAATGTCTGTCTCTTTCCTTGTGTTAATCAAAAAAGGATAGAGAGAAAAACACCTAATTCAAGCTTTAATCCATCTTGCGATAAGCTGATTAGATTTTGGGAATAATTGGAGCATCTGGGTGGTACTTTGTAGGGGGCCGTTTTTCTACTTTATGGTATATTTATTTATGCTATTTAAGATAAGAAAAGAGAATTCTTTTAATAAGAGAGAAGAGATAATTTTTTTAATTTTTGATTAGGACGAATATTGTATATAAGTAAAATTATTATATTGCGATCAAGGTCAGTTACCATATTGGACAATTATTATTAATGCACACATTGATACGAAAAAAATTATATATATATATATTTTTTTAATCATTCATTTCTTTTATTAAGTAGCACAGTGGTTGAAAAAATCTACTGGGTCTATTAACATTGTCGAGTTGTCCAGTGAAAACTAAAAATACCATATTTTGTTTTGTAAATTTTTAATTTCTTCAGAGCAATCATATCTTTTATTACAAAAATGGATAAACCGTTAAAATGTGAATTCAGTTATGTGTCACAATTTTGGTTTTTACCACGTTTTATCTAAAAAAAATAAAATCATTATTGAAAAAGTAAAACTTCAGGAAAAAACCGTACCTAATTAAAAATTGTTGACAATAATTGTTTTTAAACAAAACCTTAAGTATTTTTAACATTTTAGCAATTTTTGTAAAAAAAAAAATTAGTTTTTTTAAAGTGGTTTTAGTAAGTCATTAAAACGAATAAATACATTATACATTTGACATTTACTTTAAAATAAAAGTATTTTGTATTATTAGGTAGGTAAGTGTAAGGTATGATTTTTATAAAACATATTTTTGTGCAAAAAATACTTTGGCTATTCAGTTGACATCACCAAAAAAGTATTTTTATAAAAAGAAATAACCTTGAAAACTATAAAACAATAGGTTATATTAAAAACGCCAATGCCTTGGGTATATTATGTTAAATAAATCAAAAATGAATCTCAATGTCAAAGAATTTTATATTTTACATAATTTGTAACAGTCGATTGTTTTTCTATTAGATAAATGTTTATTTAGGAAATGCAAAGGAAAAACATTTTTTCAAAAATATAAACTAGTAAATTTACATTTATTCATTGCATATTATATAGAGGTATCTATGTATAACAATTAATTATTATTAATTATGGTTTCAAATTAAAAAAAAGGCAGATAAATATGTAAAACAATTTAATTTAATTTTGTAATGAAAGGCCTGTTATCAACTAAAAAACAAAATATTTTGCATAAAATTGTTTTATAAAGTGAATATGGACTAAATAAAAAAATATAAATATATGTTCGTTTGAAGGACAAACTTTTTTACCGAAAAATCATATAAGTACCTAGGTAAAAACTATTTTTAATAAATGTAAAGTGAAAGTGAGAAAATAAACTCGAGTAAGAAAGATGGTAAATATGGTATACAGGGTGATTCATAAAGAATGGGTAATATTTTACCTGTAGATTCTATAGCGATTTATGAATTTGTGAATATTTTGCTTAATAATTGGTGTCAAATATTAATATTTACTGATATAGAGGGTGTTAAAAATAGTTCAGTAATTTTATTTTTCACACATAAACATAAAACATGATACAATTACATTTTTTGATGATATATCGCATAGATGGTGCTACGTTTAACACTTTCACTGCCTCGGCTCTCTAAAGGTGGGAACGCCTTAGGCAATTGCGGTCTCGTCGTATCGCGATCTGTGTTAGTCCCGAGCGCGCGCAATTAATTCCTTTCCCATATTTTAAAATATTTTATAACGTATGCATTTCCACTTGGTGTTCTCGAGCTGGGTTCGCTCGCATCGCGTTCTCTTACTTTTTCCATAGAATATCGGTGGACCGCGATGCAAGGGAGACTAGCACAGTCCACGACTGCCTAATGCGTTCTCTGCTTAAGCCTTCAATGTTTGGTGCCCACCGTACTTTTGTTTTTTAAAATAAAGATGTAGTTTTACTTATTTTACTTTTTGGGTGGAAATAGGTTTACTTTTATAGAATTTGGTAAACTGGTCAAAAAGAAAAACAAAATGCGGGAGACGCGTAGAGGTTATCCAGCTATAAAAAATGGCCTGGATGCCCACAACGCTCATTACAAAATCCAATATATTCCGAACGCGGTAGCTCTCATTATAAGCAAACGAGGGAACCGCATTGTGGGCAGTGAAAGTGTTAACAGAATTCGTATTAATATTTGACTCCCAGTTATTAAGCAAGAAATTAGTATTTTCCGATATAGAATCTACAGGTAAAATACAAATTCCCTATGAATCACCCTGTCACTGTCAAATAAAGTAAAAATCAATTCATTTGTTGTGATTAAAATATAAGAAATCAAATGAAAGAAAATATTCTTTTAATAATCTTAATAAATACAACTCATGTAATTGATGATAATCGATAATTCCTTCTCTTTTTCTTAATAAATAATATGACGTCTTCAGATGAAATTTAAATTAATCATCCTATATTTATATTTTTTTCCGGATAGATATTTTTTAGGGTTGTAGGGTTTGAGAGAAAGTAAACATTTATTTAAAAAAAAATAATAACTACTTCACTCGAAGTACACAAATTTTTCAAAGTAAGTGTCCGAAGTGAAAGCCACCAACTGTCTGACAATATCCTAGTCTATCAACAAATGATCTTAAGGCATTTTGATAAACTTGAACAGAAATTTTTATTTTGTCTTCCAATTCTTCCAGTAAATGTGACAGGTCCTTATAAACTATTGATTTCAAATGGCCCAAAAGAAAGAAATCCAATGGGGATAAATCCGGTGACCGTGCCGGCAACTCAATATGTCTTCTTCGACCCACTCATCTCTGCGGAAATATGGTGTTCAGATACTGCCTTACTCTAGCATCGAAATGAGGAAAAGTACCATCTTGCTGGAACCAAATTTTATCAGAAATTTCTAAGTGATTTCTATGATTTGGAAATAAACGAACTAACTCTGCAACTATCTGCTCTTGAAGAAGTTGGCAATAAGGATCACCGTTCCGATTTCTTCTCATGGAGAATTGTCCAATATTTCTTCCTCTAACTATATCAGCCCAGCATTTAACACTTAGGGAATATTGGGTGTGACTTTCTTCCACCCAGTGAGGATTATGATCAGACCAGTACCTGCAATTATGTATATTTACAAATCCACTATAACAAAATGTTGATTCGTTGGAAATAATAATGTTGTTCATGAACATATTTCCATTAATGGCAACTATCATTTCCTGACAGAATTGCATTCGCCTGTATTCAATTCTTGGTGTAATTGCACTTTAAGGGATGAAATTTATTGACTTTCAGAATCCTCCTTACAGATCTCTCGCTCATATTATTGCTCGTATTATTGTCTTACGCAAGCTTTGGAACTGAAGTTTTTGGTTCTTCCTGTATACTTCGGGCCACATTAAGTGCATTTTTCACGCTTCCTATTTCATTGAACTTGCTCAACTTTCTGGATACTGTAGATTTAGAATTCGGGGAAATCCTGTCAGGGAATGTTTCATCGAACAAATCCCAAGCTTCTTGCAGAGATCTTTTTCTGTCTTCAAAGCCAATAATCATCAATAGGGTAATTATTTCACATTTACTCAGTTCAATCATGATAGTTCAACCATGGTTTAAATTAATAAAAATTATCAGTAGTATCAAATGTTATTTATTGTCGCGTATTGGGCTAGTTTAGGTGAAATGAAATTAAACTAAACTTGTTTAATTGTCTCTATAAACCAAAACGAATTAAAACGTACATATTAATAAAAGGTGACAATATTATAAAAACCAAGTGAACAGTAACACAAAAAGTATTTTTGTCAGAGATATACAAGAATCGAGTGATTAATATCGAGATGCCAATATGACATTTATAATGTCGAAAAGTCAAACCATGGCAAAAGATTTCAAATTGGTATATTATGATATCACAGACAACTGTGAGGATAGTTATTCATTAATTATTCCAAACAACGTTTACCTTTCTGTTTTATTATTTTCTTATGATAAGGTAAGATCTATTAAAAAAATATAAATATACGGTGATTTATTTAAAATTTCATACGATGACGTCAAATTTTGATAAACATAACAGATGACGAAAATCCTCAAGCGCCATTAAATAGTGCATAAAATATACGAAACAATTTATTGGCGTCAATTTTCAGTACAATCAATAATTGAGCCACAAATAGGATATTCCGCCAGTTTTACCCAACCCTGTACATACGTATTTGATTATTATAGTTTCATAACTATAGTTTTTAAGTTTCTCCTTGCTTGTAATTACCTATTAAAAGTCTGTACGGTGTTCAATTACATACATAAATGAATAACACTTCCAAATTCATCCTTTCGGATATTTAACCAATAATCTTTCGCCCTTCTTCATTAT